GCCACTTGTCATTTGTTTGAACATAAATATCTACTCTAAGCAGATTACTCTGGGAGCAAAAACACTGACGTCTCTTTAGCCCATTGGCTACACAGAAGAGTTCTGTTTGAGTCACCACCTAAGGGGAAACACCTGGTCCTTAATAGATAAAGCACTAAGGACCATGACAACTGGGAACTCAAATGCTGAGCATCTGTTGAAAGTAGAGTATACAATTAAAATTAATTACATTCACTAGTCGATCAAACTACTTGATTCTATTCCTATCTGCTCAAAACTTCACTCTTGACACTTAAGAGTATGGTTCATGAAAGTCAAAGAAACAAGGTGAGATGCCCTTAAATGTTCCAGATAGCAATGTGACAATGAAACTAACATTTGGAAGAAACACCCAAACAACTAACAATGCATCAAGAAATGGAAAAATACATTGGGAAAATGAAGTTCAAACTGTTATCTATGGAGGTATAAACTGTTGTTTCTAAATATATTAGGTTGAATGACACAAAACTGTCAATATCAAACAGGTTTTAAGTTATAGAACTGACAATCTCATATATTTTAAGTCAATATTAATTAGAAGATTATCACTTTTTTTTAAATCCTCACCCAAGGATATATTTTTATTGATTTTGAGAGAGAGAGGAATGGGGGAGAGGGAGAGAGAAACATTGATCAGTTGCCTCCTGTATGCACTCTGACTGAGCCACATTTTGTTGTTCCAAATGATGTTCCAACCAACTGAGCCATCCAGCCAGGGAAAGATTATCACTCTTTTAAAGAAGGGATGGGTTAGTGATATTTTGTACAGTTTATGTAGAAATTACAAAAATGAAAGATTTTAATTTTTATATTAGGTTTATATTGGAGGAACCAAGATATATAAAAGAGAAACAAAAACACACATGGGGAGAAAAATCGCAATTAAGCTCCTTTTTATATGGGCTTACCTCATGTCTCTGTGTCACACTTTGGTAATTCTCACAATATTTAAAAACTTTTCCTTATTATTATATTTGTTATGATGATGTGTGATCAGTGATCTTTTTTAATTTAAATATGTTTAACTGTTTTTTTCTAGAGAGAAAAGAAGGGAGAGGGATAGAGAGAGAGAAACGTTAATGAGAGAGAAATATCAATCAGGGGTCTCCCACACACCCCCTACTGAGAATCAAGCCTGAAACCTGCGCATGAACCTGTGACCTCTTTCTTGGTTCATGGGTCGATGCTCAACCACTAAGCCACACAAGCTAGGCTGTAATCAGTGACCTATGATGTTACTGTTGTTTTGGGGCACCATGAACTATCACATATAAGACAGTGAACTTAAATGCTGTGTATGTTCTGACTGCTCCACTAACTAGCTGTTTACCTGTCTTTCTTCCTCTCCTTGGGCCTCCCTAGTCCCTGAGATGCAACAAATTGTAATTAGGCTAATTAATATCCCTATAATGGCCTGTAAGTGGTCAAGTGAAAGAGTTACACATCTCTCACTTTTAATCAAAAGGTAGATACGATTAAGTATAGTGATGAAGGCATGTTGAAAGCCCAGATAGGCTGAAAGCTAGGCCTCTTGCACCAAACAGTTCAGCCAAGTTGTGAATGCAAAGGAAAAGTTCTTGAAGGAAATTAAAAGTGATACTCCAGTCAACACACAAATAAGAAAGTGAAACAGCCCATTGCTGATATAAAGTTTTAGCGGTCTGGGTAGAAGATCAAACCAACCACAACATCCTCTTAAAGTCAAACACTAATCTAGAGCAAGGCCCTAGCTCTCTTCCGTTCTATGAAGGCTGAGAGATGTGAAGAAGCTATAGAATAAAAATCTGAAACTAGCAGAGGCTGGTTCATGAGATTTAGGGAAGAAGCCATCTATGTAACATAAAAGTGCAAGGTAAAGCAGCAAGTACAATGTAGAAGCTGCAGCAAATTATCCAGAAGATCTAGCTAAAATAATTAATGAAGGTGGCTACACTAAACCAGATTTTCAATGTAAATGAAATGGCCTTATATTGGAAGAAGATGCCATCCAAGACTTTCATAGCTAGAGAGAAAAAGTTAATTAATGCTTGGTTTCAAAGCTTCAAAGGACAGGCTGCCCCTCTTGTTAGAGGCTAGTGCAGCTGGCAACTTTTAAGTTGAAGCCAATGTTCTTTTACCATTCTGAAAATCCTAGCGCTCTTAAGAAATGCTCAGTCTACTCTGCCTGTGCTCTATAAATAGAACAACAAAGCCTGTTTACTATATAGTCTGTTATATGTTTTAAGCCCACTGTTGAGACCTACTGCTCAGGAAAAGAGATTCCTTTCAAAATAATACTGCTCATTGACAATGTAACTGGCCATCCAAGAGCTCCAATGAAAATGTTCAATGAGATTGTTTTTATGCCTGCTAACACTCCTCCATTCTGCAGTCCATGGATCAATAAATAATTCTGATTTTCAAGTCTTATTATTTAAGAAATATATTGCATAAGGCTATAGCTGCCATAGACAATGCATATAATGGATCAGGAAAAAGTCAACTGAAAACCTTCTAGAAAGGATTCACCATTCTAGGTATCATTAAGAATACTTGTGATTCATGAGAAGAGGTCAAAGCACCAACATTAACAGTAGTTTGAAAGATGCTGATTCCAGCCCTCAGAGATAACTTTGAGAGATTCAAGACATTGGTGGAGGAAGTAACTGCAGATGTGATTGAAATAGCAAAAGAACTAGAATTAGAAGTGGAGCGTGAAGATGTGGCTGAATTACTGCACTCTCATGATAAAACTTGAACAGGTAAGTTGCTTCTCATGGATAAGCTAAGGAAGTTTCTTCAGATGAAATCTACTACTGTGAAGACACTAGGAAGGTTGTTGAAATAACAAAGGATTGAGGATATTATACAAACCCAGCTGATAAAGCAGTAGCAGAGTTTGAGAGGATTGATCCCAATATTGAAAGAAATTCTATGGGTAAAATGCTAACAGCATTGCATGCTATAGAGAGAAATCATTCATGAAAGGAAGAGTCAATTGATAAAGCAAACTTCATTCTTCTATTATTTTAAGAAATTGCAAGTCACCCCAGCCTTTAGCAACCACCATCCTGATCAGCATCAACATTGGGGTATGACTCCAGCCAAAATATGAGTAGCTAAAGGTTCAGATGATAGCTATTTTTAGCATTAAATGTTTTTAATAAAGGCATATTTTGGGCATAATCTATTGCACACTTAATAGAATACAGTATAGTGTAAACATAACTTTTATATGCACTAAGAAACCAAAATATTTGTGAGACTCACTTCAATGTGATATTTGCTTTATTGCGGTGGTCTGGAACAAAACCTGAAATATCTCAAGTATGCCTATAACAGAGTCACCATTACAAAGAATCAGATATGTGTTCTTATAGTCTTTAATTAGTTCATAAATATCTCTTTACCTTAGGTAGACAGAGTAAGGGCATTATTGAGAGCATGTTTGAATTGTGTTCAAGTCATATAACTTTACTTTTCTCCTAAATTGTGGACAAAAAGAATATGTCTAGGAAGATGCCCAGGTCCCCCATCTGTCTGATTTACAAAGGCACCTGTCTAAAAATAAGCCATTCTGGAAAAGAAGCCCTCATTTCCTCTACTGAGATATTGAGGTGTCAGTTGAGATACCCTCATTAAATTGAGAAATGGAAGTGGCCAGAGCCCTCTAGCCCTTTAACACAACTGATATTCTGATTCGCTAGGTCACTATGGAAACCAGAACAGAGCACAGGACAGCTGAGAGCACCCAAAAGACACTGGCAGTTGGAAGAGTGATGGAGGACAAGCAGGACCTCGTGAACAAGTAAAAGAAAGTAACACTTGAAGAAAGAAAATGTTAAGTTGACCTAGAGGGAAGAAAAGGTTTGTAAGAGCAAAAGTAAAGGACATTTTTTATTTGACTCCCAACAGCAAAAAAGAAAGACAAAAGAAAAGAAAGTGAAAATGAGCCATTTCTGAGGTTTGTTGATAGGCTAAAAAACAAAAATCAAAACTAATTACCTCCAAGGTTTACTGTTATTACCCAACCAACATTAACTTTCAGTTTACTGAATAAAGGTTAAGTAAGACAATGAGGACCTGAGAAGGCGGTGGAGGGTGAAGGGGGTCTTAATATATGGTGACAGGAGAAGACAGGACTTTGGGTGGTGGGCACACAGAGCAATCTACAGGCCTTGTAACATAGAAACCCACACCTGAAACTTATATGTTCATATTAACCACTGTTACCCAGATAAATTTAATAAAAATAAACAGATTTTTTAAAAAAGAACCTGAGAGATCCCCAGATTTAAAAAATATTATTGACCAGTACTATAAAAGAAATTGGGAAATTACCATGAAAACAGCATTTTTTTAAAAAAGGAATGACAAATCAAGGACAATCTGTAATCATCATTACATAAATGAAAAGCTGTTTTAATGGGATGCCAAATACTGTCAGCGGCTGTCAGAGGATATACTCTTCTCTCTGTCTCTCTTCCTCTCGGTCTCTCTGTCCCTGTCTCTCTCTCTCTCTCTGTCCCTGTCTCTCTCTCTCTCTCTGTCTCTCTCTGTATCTATATATACACACACATATATATGTGTGTGTGTGTATATATACATATATATATATTTGTATCTCTATCTCAGTCCAGTCTCTCTCTATATGTGTGTGTGTGTGTGTGTGTGATTCAAGGATGGGGGCTGAGAAAAAATAAACTATAAATTGAAGAGGAAAATAATAATGCCAAAAAAAAACCAGAGTGAACTTCTCTAGATCAAGTTCTCTCTTCTCCCCACTCCCCAGTCTACTGCAGTGTTTTCCTAGGATGCAAGTGCTAGTTATTTAATTGTAAACTTTTTTAGAAACCTCTATAATTTGAGCCTTGTTTTAACAGTCTCTTTCATTTCCAGGGCATTGTTTATTGGCAACACTGGGAAGGGATTTTGCTATTCAGTAGTATTTGACAAACCGAGGAAATTCTTTTTCTTTTTGTCAGAATAAATAAAAATAACAACTCATCACTGAAGATGTATCCTGATGATATAAATATAGAGATACGCTAAAAATCAGAATCATCTAGAAGAATAAGTAGGACTCATCATGGCCCTCGCAGCCCATACCCGAAAGAACAGCAAAAAAGTCTTTCCATTGGAATCTCTTCTACCCCCACAGGTTCCACGAAGCAATTACTTGCATTTTCTGGAAGAGAAACAAAGACTCCAGCTAAAGAAATTCCTTCTTGACAGGATGTTTCTAGTAGCCAAGACAAGACCCAACATAGAGAAAAAAGATATCACTGAATACTACGAACAGTTGTTTCAGTCAATTTCAAAACGTCACTTAGGAGAGGCGGTGACAGGATTGCTGTTCATGTATCGCACTTTCATTCTGCACATCCTTGAGTCCTCCAGCGGGACTCTTTATCGGGTTCTTTCAGATTACCTTCACCATGAACAGAATGAAACGGAGTATTTTATCCAAGGGATGAAAGTAATAGTCGTGTCCCATAACATCCCAACAAGGATCTTCATGCAATGGCAAGTTGTAGTAATAAAAGTGCCAGTCATATATCTTGATGATGTGACACAGTCACAGTCCCTGAAAGAGGTCATCACAGAGTTTCTCACCCAAACTCATAAACTAGCACTCCACCTTTTTAAGACTGTTAAAGTGGGCACTAAAGGGCCAGCGGACAACTTGCACCAACCTGAACCTGACTTACTCCTCCAAGAACAAATAATAAAGTACTTGTACAAATCGGAACAATTCATGGACCCAGGAGCTTTCCTAAACATGTACAATAAACCCATTCACGTCACCATGGATTCTGATGTGGTGTGGCCTGCTCCTTCCCATTTCTAGGACTGAAAGTGATGGTCTGGCAGGTGTGGGCAAATCTCCTAAGGAACTTATGCTACTTCAATACAAGGGAAGTATTTCTAAAGTTACTCATCTCTTTAAAAAAGAAACAGAACACTACAATATACACAAAGGTAATATACTAATTTTTAGAGAGTATGTTGAGCTAAATTTGAAAATGTATCTGTTCTGATATTCAGTTCAATATGTTATTTGAATAGGTGGAATGGTTTAGTAAGTTCTCAAATGTTAACATTATTTTGATGGAATGACTTAATTTATTAAAGAAAGCTATGAATGAAAAAGGGAAACACTTAATTCAGATTTTCATTCATTCTCTAAACAGTCAAGGAGCAGCTGCCACCACACAGAATCGAATTTTAGGACAGACCATTTTGTTCTGAGAGTACAACATTCAGGGCAAAACTACCACCCTTGTGTTGCTTTCAATCTAAGGTTTGAGGAAAATATGTGAAAAAGTAAAAAGAGATGATATTATACAGTATGATGTGTTATGATATGATACGTGATCACTATTATAGAGGCAGTATGTAGGAAAGACCTTTAGAGCATAAATGAAGGAATATCTCTATAATTCCTAAATTCAGAAAACAAAACCTAAACTTTGAAAACAGTTCCAAAGCTCACATATCCTGGACTATAAAATCAAGAATACTGAGACCATTATAAAGCTAAAGAAAATAGCTTTTTGAAATGACCAGAAAATATATTGTTAGAAGGCATTGTATTCTTTCTGCAAAATCTTTTATTGAGCACCCTTGATGTGATACGTTTGCCAGGTGCTAGGGATATGGCAGGTTACACAGAAGACATGATTATTGTGCGCTTGTAAAGCATTTCTCGATGATTCCACATACGGTAAACAAATTGGTTATTTTTCAGTTACTTCCTATAAAGCAATTAATTATATGCAATTTCTATATGGCCTATTTCAAGTTAGTCTCTCCCTTTATCCCCCAGATTAATGCTTTCTTGCATTACTTAAAATTTTGTTGTTTTAAAAATAAATAAAATTAATATTTTTATTACCTCAATGATACTTATGCAAAATTACTTCAATATCTTATGAAACACTATGGATTTAATGGAGAAAATACTGTTATTTTAGTTTCATATTATTTATTTATTTACTTGATTTTCAGTCTGTCTGAGGGGAAAAAGAACAATCTCAGTATGCACCTCAAATTTGTCACATGCAGATAATTTGTCATTATTTGTTTCATATCAGAACTGAATTTCAGGAAAGAGCATTTCTGTTTTTAAATGTTATAATATAGATTTAGATACAGAAGGACATTTCTCACTTTTAGCTGAACATGAAGTTACATTCATTTAAATTTAGTGACAGAAAGAGTATATTTTAGATAAAATGAGAAGTGATTCTTCAGGCTAAGAAAGAGTATATAATTTACAAACATTTTATGAAGTTAGTGAATATTTAACACCTAAGATTAATTAGCAATGTGCTATTTACCCTTTGAACTGTTAAAAAAAAAGGCACCCATTGATAGTGAGTGTTTAGTGATAAAATGAGTAGAGATAAGAGTAAATGATAAGAGTAAATGCTCTCTGGGGGAGGGGGAGAGAGAAGGGAG